TAGCCGACATCTGAGGGACAATTTATCTCTCCACGATCCCACAAAGTTGAATCAGGTAATGCACAGACTTTGCAAACTGTCTCAAAAGCAGCCACTCTTCACTTTAATGTCCACAAGAGATACACAGAGCCACATGAAACAGTAAACACACATACATCTCTCTGCCTACGTTTCCCCACTCTTGACTTTTCCTTGTGACATCCCTTTTGGTGCTCAGGGACCTTCCCCTCCCGTCTCCCACCAGCACACAGCTGCTCCTTCAAATGGTGGCTTCCACTGCCTTCCTACTGCCTCCGCGTCACAGGACACCTCCGCTGTGTCCGTGCATCACTTTATCTTTCCTGACCAAGCTGCTTCTGCTTCCAGAAATCCTTCCCGGCTTTGAAATCCAAACATTACCACCTGGCTGCTTTGTCTTGATTCCTCCCGAGAGGGATACGCTGTCCTTATTTAAGATCCTACTCCTCGTTTGCCTCTCCTAGCTCAGAGTAAGCTAGATGGAGAGAGTCTGTAACGACTGACACACTGGCACCTCTCCTGTCTCTTGTTAGCACATGACAGTCCCAGACACAAGGAGACTCACAGTTCATGGAAACAAAATGGAATTTATAACTTATGTGATGATTCAAGGAATCTGTCTATGCACATACAGAATAAAATCACACAAGTGACAGAAACAAAAATTTTCTCTTTGAGATGAGTGTGAAATACCTACACAGAACTTGCCATCACCTTCCTCTTCAGTCTCCTGCCGCGTCTACGGAAGCTAAACAGGGAGAGAGTTAGGCAAAGGATCTATTGGTGGGGCTTAGCCGACTTCATGTCCTTTGCTCTTAGAAGTGAATTTTACATGGTATCACAGGGTCTTTCACTAAGACGGGCAATTCTTGTAGCTGGCCAATTGTTACTGCTGTCTCCAAAACAGCAGGTAAGGCCAGAGCAGCTGAAATAGCCATAGTGCTCCAGCCCATGGGGTTTGTGGCAGACCACCTTCTGGCGTTTTAATTGAATACTGATTTTCCCTGTTTGTTGGAATTGCCTGGCCAAATGCTGGCACTCATCATTCCTTTTCTGTTCTGAAACCCCAGCTTTTCCTTTTATCCCAGCTATGCACACAACCCTTTTATTGGTAACAAAAATTGCAGTGTGCATAAAAAGCCAAACAGAACTGGAGCAAGAAGCCTGACAGGAAGCACGTCAAGGTTTGAACCTAAAACCTTTTTTCATTCTAAAAAAATCCGACTGCTATAAGAGAGATGACCTGACTGATGAGTTGGTCTGGTCCCTGCATGCAGTTGAAAGTAGAGGTCCATGTACAGGAATAGGAGAATGTCCCCAAACTCCAAAACGAATCAAGTATCTTAACTCCCCATGTGATGGAAGCAATAAACAGTCCTTGGGAAAAATAGCACAAAGCTTTCCTGTACTCTGAAGACCAAGGACAGACGACTTTTAATAAAGAGCAACTAGAGGAGAACAAAGCTTCTATCTGACCACACTAAAAGGAAAAGCTATGGAAAAAATGACTAAAAAAGTCATTGGCAAAGGTAGACAGACTAGCCCATAGAAAGTGAATTTGTTTTATGGGGAAATCTTGCAAATTAATGTAGACTTGGGGATTAGGGAAACTGCATTCAGTACTAGACTACAGCAAAACAACTTGGTTTGGAGGAGTTAATGGAAAGAAAGAGAAACAGTGACAACAAATAAAATCAAGGGCCAACTGTGAATCATGAATATTTCAGTTACTGAATTTCTGCTTTTGCCTCAAAAGTTGATTCTTTTCCCCAGGAGAGCACAGCAGTAACAATAGTATCAATCCCTCAAATATATCTAGCTCAGGACATCACCTGAGAAAGTGGTGCTACACAGTTAAAAGCATCAATATCCTGTTGCTTTTGGATTCCTCTTTTCTGCTTATGAACAATTCTGGTATTCTGGTAACTTGAGACTGAGTTAATTTGCATTACACATATACTTCTGTTCCTGTTGATTAATTAATTAACACACTAAAAATAAAAAGACCCAATGCATTGATCAGGCCCCATTTGCTCTAATAATCTCTGAACTCTGCAATCAGATCATTGAATTCTAAACTACTTAAGTCTAATGGGCTGGGAGCTTTGAGACATCTTAAAGATAAAGCCCAAACACTCAGCACTTTTTAGTCAGTTAAATTTAAATAAAGGTGCAGATCAATTAATCAGCCTATGCCTTACTGTTCACTCGAAAAGTTGTTTTGCTTCACACTGTCCACATTTGCAGTTAATAATTGCCACAGATTTTTGTATTGTACAAACACAAGCAGGCCATTTAAGTTGAGAGAGAGAGACCTTTACATTTGGGCAGCAGGGACATTTTGTATTTTAAGGCACCCAAAGGGGTGTCCAGCACAGTGCCAGATCCTGCGATAAGCACATTCATTGTGTGTTTCTCCTAAACTAATCAGCAGAGAAATAATTCACATTGAGAATATTAACGTTGTCATCTGTAGGCGTGGAAGTTAATGACCCATAGAAATGAATCAAGCCATTCACCTCTCTCTCAGAGTTATTGTTTTAGGGGCATCAAGAAGACAGCTTTTCATTAACTGGGTTCACATCTTTATTTCACAATCATGACTCCT